TTGAGGGTGTGGATGCCCTTGGATTTTCTGGGGGTCTGTGGGTTCTTTGGGACTCAACAGCTTTGCTTTGCTTGGATGTTTTTAAATCTGATAGGTTCTTGACAATTACTTTTGAAGGTCCTGTCAGGGGTTTCCGTTGGGTGCTAATTAATGTGTGTAGGTTTAATATTGCTACCCTTAAAGGTGTCTTTTTGGATGATTTGAATTCTTTTACTTTCTCTTCGGGACTTCCTATTTGCCTTGGAGGGGATTTTAACCATATTCGCCACCTAGATGAAATTTCCACTTTTTCTCGGTATAATTATCGTATGCATCTATTTAATGACTTCATTATGGAGACTGATTTATTAGATCTTCCTATTACTGAAGCTCACTTTATTTGGTCTAATAGTTGTTCCTCTAATTTGATTATGTCTAAGATTGATCACTTTCTTGTCTCAAAGGCTTGGGAAAGAATATTCCCTTTGGTCAAGGTTAATGCTCTTACCAAACATTCCTCTGATCATCTCCCCATCTTTCTTCATACTGAGGAGGTCTTATCTGGGCCTAGACCTTTTCGTTTTGATATTCAATGTCTGGAAGAGCTTGAAGTTGTGGATAGCATCAATCATTCTTGGGGTAGTTGTTATGTTTTTGGCAGTTTTGGCTTCCGTCTTCATAAGAAGCTAATCTGCCTGAAGTACAAACTCATCTCTTGGAAAAAAGAAAACCGGTATCAATTTAACGGAAAAATTGATACCACTTTGATGGACTTAGGGATGATTAAAAATTCTATTTAGGAAAACCAAGTTTTATCTGATGAGATGATTATTAATAAAAATTCTCTTCTTAATAAGCTACATGATCTCTTTAGGATGGAGGAGATTTATTGGAAACAGAGATCAAGAGTTAAATGACTTAAGGAGGGTGACAGAATACCAAAATTTTTCGTGCTATTGCGAATGCGCGTAAGGCAGAATAATATTTTTACTATTTTTCTACCGGGTGTATCGGAAGGCGGCGTTTCAGCTCGTGATGAGGCCATTGTTCAACATTTTGCGTTTGCTTTTTCTAGTGATTTTAATCTTGGGGTTATCTTAGATGGTGTTCCTTTTAAATCTCTGCCACTTTTCTTGGTTTCAGATCTGGAAAGGGATGTTACTGTGGAAGAAGTTAGATTGGCAGTTTTTGCTCTTTTTGGGGATAAAGGCCCTGGCCTTGATGGTTTCCCTCTTATCTTCTTTTAGCGTTTTTGGGATCTGCTACACGATGATGTTTATTTAATGGTTAAGGAATTTATGTCCACTAGGAGTATTCTCAAGGGCATTAATTCTACTTATATTTCTTTAATTTCAAAAAAAGATAGCATTGCTGATATTGGAGATATTAGGCCGATTAGTCTCTCGTCTAGCAAAAGTTTTAGCAGAGAGACTTAAATTGGTTCTCCCTTTTGTGATCTCTGATGAACAATCAGCCTGCATTAGAGCCCGCATGATCATAGATTGCACTCTTATTGCCCAGGAATGCATTCACTCTAGAAATCTTTATGAGCAGTCGAGAGTGGTTATTAAATTGGATATGGAGAAGGCCTTTGATAGAGTTGAATAACAAGTGCTCAATGAGATTATGACAAGAATGGGTTTCGGTGTTAGATGGATTCAGTGCATTTCTTCGACACATTTTTCGATTCTTATTAACGGATCTCCTAGGGGGTTCTTCCATGATTATAGGGGCATTAGACAAGGAGATTCTCTATCTCCTTTTCATTTTACCTTAGTAGCTGAATATTTTAGCCTGATGTTTAAGAATGTTGTAAATGCAGGTCTTCTTACAGGTTTTTAAGTTTCATCATCTGGGCCTACTATTTCACTTTTACAATATGCAGATGACGCCCTGATTTTTTGTGATGCCAGTGACGAGAAAATACAGAATCTGAGCATATTCCTCCTATGTTGTCAGCTAGCTTTGGGCATCAAAGTAAATTTTCATAAGACTTCAATTGTGGGCATCTTTTGCTCAACAATCTTTTGGATTCTCTTGATTCAATTTTGGGTTGCAGAGGTGAGAAATTTCCCCATAAATATTTAGGGGTTTCTATCTCTGATCGTAAGCTCACTCGTGCAACGTGGGACCCTCTTATTCACATGTATCAAGTTAAATTAGACCTATGCAAGATCAAGACTTTATCTTTTGGTAGGCATATCACTTTGGTTAAATCTACCTATACACATCTTCCTATTTATTTGATGTCAGTCATACAAATACCTAGTGAAGTAATCAAACTTATTAAAAAATATATGCGAAACTTCATTTGGGGTAATATGGAGGATAACCACATAAAGTTTTATTTGGTGAACTGAAACCAGGTTTGTATGCCATCAAAGCTAAGGGGTTTGGGCATCAGAAAACTTAAAATTGTAAACTGGACACTTCTTTCCAAATGGTGGTAGCGAATCTCTTAAGACTCTTCTTATCTCTGGAAGGATGTGTTAATTGTTAAATATGGTTTCGATCATCTCACCCACTCCATTAAAAAAAGTAGAGGAGGCAAATTCACCTCACAGATTTGGAAGGATATTTATAACTGCAGAAATATTGTTTTCAGCAACATTAGATGGCTTATTGGCAATGGAGATTACACTCTCTTTTGGTTCAACTAATGGCTTGGTGATGCACCTCTCTCTTCTACTTATCCTGACCTATTTGCCAGAGTTGCTCAACCTGATGTAAAACTTTCATTGTTGTTTTTTCTATCCCCCTCTAATTGTATGGTTTGGAATATTAGATGCCGCTACAATAGGTTACCAGACACGATGATTTCGCAACTTCATAATCTCCTCCAACAACTTAAACAAGTCTACATCTCTTTTAATGCCGAAGACTTGGTCATATGGGAATCAGAGATTGACGAATTTTTTTCTATCAAATCAGTGTATAGGCTCTTTTTTATGGACCGGGACAATATTGTTGATACCTCTTTGGGTTCCATTTGGAAATGACCAGTTCCAGTTAAAATCCAAGCCTTCTTATGGGTCGCATGTCAAAGGAATGTTTAACAGTAGACAATCTGCAAAAGAGAGGTAAAATTTTTCCAAATACTTGCTTGATGTACAAAAATGATGAATAATCTTGCTCTCATCTTTCCCCCTACTGTCCTTTTGCCTCTAGCTTATGGCTCTGGGCCTTCTCTTTATTGGGTTTTTTTTTTCATGATAAATTTGAATCTCATTAACATTATTAACCATCTTTCTGCCATTGGATTACCAAAAAAACGAGTTGTGATTTGGAAAATTTTCTGAAGTGCAACTTATGGCATATTTGGTTAGAGTGTAACAGGAAAACCTTTGATGGGGTGTCTCAGAGTATTGAAAGGGTAAAAGACCTCATTTTACAATCTCTTTGGAATTGATTTTCCTCCACACTTGAAGGAAGGGGTGCTCTTCGGACTGATATTTATAGCAACCTGAAATTTTTGGCTCATTCCTATTCTCACTCTAGTCGTCTCCTTGGAACTTGGATTGTACCTCTAGAAGCTTGCTTCAAACTTAATTTTGATGGTAGCTCATTTGGAAATCCAAAGCCTGCAGGTGTTGGTGGCTTCTTCGCTACAATTTTGAATTGGTTCTTTTTTTTTATTTGGGTCCTTGTGGGTCTACAACAATCAATCATGCTGAATTGACTGCTCTCCTTCAAGGCCTTCATATTATCACTTATAGGAGTTTCATTGGTGATGTTATAATTGAAGGGAATTCCTTGAATGTTATCAAGTTGTGTAGAAAAGAGCAAATGATCCCCTGGTCCCTATTTACTCTTTGGTTAAAAATTCAAGATCTATGTGCCTGGCTTAGTTTGTGGATCAGTTTCGGCCACACTATGCACGAAGCCAATGATGTTACTGATGGACTAGCTAAACATGATGTTTCTCTTCCCTTTTTGCAAGTTTCTAACGTTTTGATCAAATCTTTGTAATCTCATGCTCTTGAAGCATTGCTTTAATAAAAGTTCATAACATTTGTCCAAAAAAAAAAAAACTTTATGATGGGTTGAACATCTTGTTTAAACCTAATTATTAAATTTAAAATTACAAAAAAGTACAAATTGAACAAGTTTGTAAACAACTAAAAATCTTAAAAATTGATGGTCTAGATAACTTTTTCTAGAAGGTTCATTATTTTTAAGATTTAAAATTATTATTATTTTTACATACATCAAATTGATGAATTAGAAGATTTTCCAACTTTATAATTTATTCTTTTCTACAAATCTTTTGAACATACCTTACTTCTTTATTGTAAGGTCAAAACCTTATACAAACTTTTTGCCCATAAAGTAGCGCTGTGTATTTTGCCCGACCTTTCCAAAGCGCAAGAGGCAACTCAAAATTCGGCCACTGAAAGGCATGGGACAAGCAGAGAGAGAGAGAGAGAGAGAGAGAGAGGTGGTCAACTGTAAGTATTTAAAGAACCGGTAACGTACCCCCTTCAAAATTTCAAGAGAGAGAAAACTTCTCGCAGGGTCTCCGTCAAACTGCAAAGTTTAGAGAGAGAGAGAGAGAGAGAGAGAGTAG